ACCTTGGCAACCTTGGACGTCAACTCCCAGAAGTCCCTAGCCAGCATGGAAGTTGACATCCACACATCTTAACATTGCCAAGGTTGAGAAACACTGGCTTAAGCAGAACTGAGCCTTATTGGAATATTCTTCTATTAGATCCAATTATTTATCCATTCAGTATTGCTGTGACAAGCTCAGATTTACACCCAATCTAGTTTTAGCAAAGCCTTTCCATGGAGAAATCTTTTCTAACCTCTCCTTCCCAATCTCTGTCCATGCTGGTGATTAGACACGGGCCTTTTTCCTATAAAGATCTATTGTACAAGACATCTATGCTCATGGGTCTAATCTGTAGATGTACATTCACTTGATTCCACTGTATATATTATACTGGTTCTGGAAAAATATTGACATTTTCTTACACAAGGACTCAAGTCCCATTTGTGACTCAATCATCAAATGACAAATTATCATCCAGGGAAGAATTATCCCCTACCTAAATGCAGAGCATTTATAACTTGGAATTCTTTATGAAGGCCAGAGGAAAGGAGTACCTATGATCCTACCCCAGGGCAGGCTATTGGAAGATTTCTGAATATTTTAGATTTCAGCTTCCATCAGCTCTAACAATAATAGCTTAAAGGAGATATTGTCCAAAACAACCTAGGTAATGCTAGGTTGATATCTATCCCATTCTGTAAATAAGAATTAGGATTAGCCTTAATTCTCCAGTCTTCTGCATTCCTAATACCTCTTTTATCTCCATTCAACTGGAGCCAAGTCTGCTTGAAATGCTCCTGAACCATATTAGTGTTTTGAAAACCCTAATCTAAACTTTCCACATAGATGTTGCTATGCAGGGATTCCACACTGAAACATTTTCACTTAAATATAATATCCCTGCCACAGGTGGGGCAGGCCCCCAGCCTTCTGGCTTTTCAGAAGAGTTTGAAGACTTGACTCTGCCAACTCATATGGGGTATTCAGGGGAGCACCCTGGGATTGTTAGTGCCTTGGAGACTGTCTCCTTGCCATTTTAATTTTAATTATTCTATCCTTGTTTTAACTACCACCTTTTGCTGAAATATATACTTTATATGGCTTTATATTTTTAACTGTACACTGCCCAGTCACTGAGATAGCAATAGCAATTAAACTTGTACACCACCTCATAGTTCTTTATCGCACTTTTTGAACAGTTTAAAAATGACAGCATATTGTCCCCAACAATCTGGGTCCTCATTTTATTGACCTTGGAAGGATGAAAAGCTGAGTCAACCCCAAGCCCCGTCAGGATTGAACTCCAGGCTGTGGGCAGAGTTAACCTGCAAAATTGCATTCTAACCACTGCACCACCAAATGGGTAATCTCTAAATCCAGTTAATAAAATAGAGAGCCATTACAATTTTTTTTAAAAAACTCCTTTACCGAGTTTAAATCAGCTGGGCTTGTACTTCTTGCTAGTATAAAAAGTGGCTAAGGTCGCCATCTGACTCCCATCCTAAATCATTGAGAGGAAAAGCAATCTGTAGTAAAATTTAAATCTGTCCCATCTCTCTCCAGCTCCCATTAGCAACAGGGGATGGAAGAGAAAACAGGCTGTTTTAAGGAAAATGAGAGACAGACGGTGTGAAGGGGAGCAGGCGGGGGTGGTGGTGATGGACATGTGCTGATGGAACAAGCTGTACGAAAAGTGGGGAAGAGCATGGATAAAGAAGGGAACAGGAGGAGATTTGTATTTGTATGCCTCTAAGTTGGAAAGAAGAGATAGTAGCTGTAAATGAAGAGAAAGTGAGATGGAAACTCCCAATATCCTAATACGCAAAATACGCAAAAATTACATATCAAAGGCCAAGGATTCAAGTCCCAGCACATCCAGTAAAAAAGATGCGAGCAACAAGAGCAAAGACGAATGAAATGGCCCATCTTGTTTCAGCTCAAAATTGATTTCCTACTTGTTCAGGGAGGGTTAAAGAAAACTGGCACAAACATCACTATAATTTTCATGTTCTTCTCCATATATATGTGCAACGTGTGCTTGTTTTTATTCCTGTAGATCATTTTGCCTAATAACATATTTACTAAAAAGCTCCCTAATATCATGCACTCGTGTATTTTTATTTTTTATATATTTATTTATTTTTATTTGTCAATTGCTTACAAGATAATAGGTATAAGTAAAAACATAGTTATGAATACATGGATACATATAAGAAAAATAAAAAATATATAAAAGAAACAATAGGACAGGGACGGTAGGCACATTGGTGCACTTATGCACACCCCCTACAGACCTCTTAGGAAAGGGTTGAGGTCAATAGTAGACAGTCTAAGGTTAAAGTTTTTGGGGTTTGGGGAAGAAACCACAGAGTCAGGTAGAGTATTCCAGACATTGACCACTCTGTTGCTGAAGTCATATTTCCTGCAATCAAGCTTGGTGTGATTAACCTTGAGTTTGTATCTATTGTTTGCTCTTGTGTTGTTATGGTTGAAGCTGAAGTATTCATTGACAGGTAGGACATTGCAATGTATGATTTTATATACTATACTTAGATCGGACCGAAGGCGGCATAGTTCTAGATTTTCTAGGTCTAGAATTTCAAGTCTGGTGGCATAAGGTATTCTGCAACGAGTAGAGGAGTGGAGAACTCTTCTGGTGAAATATTTCTGGACTTTCTCAACTATGTTAATATCAGATACATAATGTGGGTTCCAGACTGATGAGCTGTATTCGAGTATTGGTCTAGCAAATGTTTTGTATGCTCTAGTTATTAGTGTAATATTACCAGAGAAAAAACTACGTAAGATTAGGTTAGCAAATCTTAACGCCTTTTTCGCTATGTAGTTACAGTGGGCTCTAGCACTTAGGTCATTTGAGATGAGTACTCCAAGATCCTTGGCAGGCCTTGACTATTCAGCCTGTATTTTATTTATTTATTTATTTTGCCAATATGTAAGACAGAGCATTTATTTGTTGAGATTTGAAGTTGCCATTTGTTTGACCATTCTGATACATAGTCAAAAAGTCAAGGTCTTTTTGAAGGGCAGTAGTATTGTCTATGGTGTTGAATAGCTTTACATCATCAGTGATTACATTCTCAGTCATCCAGGTCATGATTGTCACAAAGGTGTTTTTTCAAGAGGGAGCTGAACTTCCTTGTTTTTCTTTGAAGATGTTTTGCTTCATATCCAAGAAGCTTCTTCAGCTCAGAGATTGGTCTGTAATTTTCAACTAGGCTGGTGTCTCCCTTTTTAAAGATGGGGATGACCGTGGCTTGTGACCATAGTTTTGGCAAGGAGCTGGTCCTGAAAGATTTTTCAAAGATTATGTTTAGAGGTTCAGCTATGGCAGTGGGTAGCTTTTTTAAGAAGTAGGCACATATTCCGTCCGGTCCAATAGATAGAGATGGTTTTAGATTGTGTAGTGCTTTTTCAACATTGTCTTCTGTAAAATTGATATGTATTAGATCATTGTAGTTGTCTGTGGTTCGACTAGGAAATACTGGGCATGATCCATTGCTGTTTACAAATACTGAGCCAAATAATGTGTTAAAGAGGTTGGCTTTAATAGTGTTGTCGTTGCAGTCTTTACCAGTCCTTTCAGGAGTGGGATTGACCTTGATTATAATTATAAAATAGGTGCAGTTTTGTATGCATTTCTCCTAATATCCTGCATGCAGAAGAAGCTGCAACATTTGGAATAAAATATCCCCAAACTAATAGCATTTTAGTGTATGTATTGGTACAGAAATGCCAAATGATGCTAGTTCACATTAATACACAAACAAAATTCCTTCTCCGTTCCTGTAAATTAGGACTGACCATCAGGGAATGCTGTTTGGGCAAAATGCTAGAATAAACATATCCAGATATATGGTCAGAGAAGAGAATTTAAATCTTCATTGTATGGTTGAAACCTAATCCCAAGTGAAGGTTTGGTGGTTTTGCCATTGTTTGAAAAGAAATCTAAAGAATTAGGGCCATCTGAGAACTTTAATTTTGTTTTATGGTTTGGAAAAATATTAGTCAACTCATGCCCCGTTGGGTCATTTCAGAGGTATTTCCTCACCTAAACAGAGAACTAGAAGGATCAAGGGTGGGTAAAAAAGCAGTTGCAGCAGGTGTGACTTATGACTTCCTGCCAGCTTCTCCATTGAGTTTTCTTGTGGGAATTTGATTTAAACATTGAAAATCATCCTTCCTTTCTCCCTACCTCCCTCCTGGCAAGTGGCTGCTGCTGGATGAGGGAAGGAGCAAGGGATTGCAAGACTGGCTGGGAAACTGTAACAATTGAAAATGAAGATCATATGACTGCAGTAGAAACAGTGCAGCATCAGCCAGTAGTATTGAAGCAGTAACACTTCCCCACATTTTATTCTCTTGAAAGTCATGGGTCCCATATATTGGATGTATACTTTAAGTTAGCCCATATGAGGAAACTTGATTCAAAATCTACTGCCCTACGATGCACTATTTCACACAGTTAAAGCTCAGGATGAGTTTTAGTAGCATATGGATTCTAATGTAGCTCAGCCCTCTGGAAATATCAGTTTATTTTTTAAGACAAGCTTTCATAACCTGGGATCTTCCAATTTTTCAAAAACAGGTAACAAAGATGCTATCCTTCATAGCAAGATGGGAAATCTATGTTTTTCTTCCTTCTTTTTCTCCCAAAGCCAGAAGAGTGCAATGCAGAAATCAGTCACAAAAATCTGCATGAAACATCAGTGGGAGGAGTCATAAAAATCAAGATGGCACCTATGAGAAAAGAATCTCTTCTTTACTTTTTTGGGCTAGACCCACAGATATCTCTATGCATTGCTTCAAATATTTCAATTGCATAGAGATCTGCAATTTATTTATTTTTATTCTGCCTTTAATTAGGGGAGGAATTTTGAAGACAAGATTGCAATTACTAGATGAAGGCCTATATATAGTTCATGATTATCACACATTCAAAAGAAATAGTTTAAAAATTTCTTATTGTTAAATAAGTTTAACAATAGTTTAACTATCGACTTTCAGATTTTGTTGAAAACCAGGACTATAATCTTTCTTCTTCTTTTGGTCAATGTGTCAGAAAAGTGCTACCTTGTAAAAAGGCTTCAATCATGCACATTTCACAATTAGTTCAGAAATTATTGCACCTGTGAGGTGTGGCAAAGTATTTTGGCAGCAACATATAAAGTCAATTCTGAAAATATCACATCTGCGAAGATATTCACATGGGGGTGGAGGAGAAAACGTACACCTTCATTCTTGCAAGGACAAGGGACAGCGGCAGCTAAAGAAGGAAGTGTTACAGGAGAATGAAGTTGGTATCTTTGTCACAATTAAATCCTCAATTATAAATGAGATCAGTTTTTCCCAACCTCAGCAACTTTAAGATATGTGGACTTCAACTCCCAAAATTCCCTAGCCAACCATGCTGATTTCTGATTTCATGACTCATGCTGGTTGGGAATTCTGGGAGTTGAAGTCGACACATTTTCAAGTTGCTAAAGTTGAGAAACACTACTTTAAATGGAGAAAGTTTCAGTTTAGAATAAGAAAGAGGACCAGGATTCTCAGCCAATTGGGGAAATTGATAAATTTTAATGCTAATACATCTAGACAATATCAGACTGATGAAGGCAAGCCTACAATTTTAGCAGTAGTTCCATCTCAGAGTTTGGTAAAACAAGAGCGTAAGACTGCTGAGTGGACTTCCAAATATGGTGGTGGAGTATCATTTGAGATAAGGGACTGGAATACATCAGTGCAGATGGCTTGTTAGAATATTTTCCCTGAATCCAGATATAAACGAAGCAGATGGAAATGATTGTGGGGTGTCTGTGAAAGGAACAGAGTAGTGAGTCATTTATTATCTTCGAAATAATTCAGCCTAGTTAGAGAGAAATCGGGGAAAAGGCAGCAACTTAAAATACTCAAAGAGACTCTGTCTTAATTAATTCACTATAATTGAGGGATTCCTCTACGGGTTTCCAAGATTCTGTATTTAAAACACATCTATCGATCTATCCATCCCTTCCTTCCCTCTTTCCTTCCTTTTTTTATAAATAACTCAAGGTGGTGAGCACTTTTTGCTCATGTTTTCTCCACAACCGTGAGAGGTGGATTGGGCTGACTGACTGGCCCCAAACCCCCTAATTGGCTTTCATGCCTAAGGTGGAATTGAACTCATGGTCTCCTGGTTTCTAATCTGATGCCTTAACCAATAGACCAAACCGGCTCTCTTATTAAAGATTCCATTAATTGGCGTGGTTCTTGCTTGCTTGATCATGCCCAGTTGAGTAGGCATGACAGTACACAAGGAAAAAAAAGTTCTAGCTTTGGCCATTCTTCCTTGGCTGATTTTCTAGCCATTAACAGTATCATTAGAAAGGAACACTTTCAAAAGACAGCATTTTTGGAGCCCATTGGAATAATTTCCTGCAAGAATCACTTCAAAATTCACTCCCTCTGCAATTGAAACAGAACAAATTTTCATTAAGATGGCGAGTACAAATCATGGCCACAGACTGCAATCGAGCTGACTGTAGGAGCGAAGGGGGGAGAGTACATGGATTAAGTATTACAAAAGGAGGCAAAATTAAATAGGAAAGAGTGACAGCTGTTGTGGGTGGAAAGGAAGCTGAAAACAAACCGTAGGAGGAAAAATGGAGACAAATCCTGAATCTCATCCAACATGTTTTACTGTGTGTTTCTAGGTTCAAAGCCTGTGTGTTTTAGAGATAACACTTCCCGAACTACAACATCATTCTTTGGCACAGGTCATTCCTATTTCTCCAGGCTGCCGTTCTTCACCCAGAAGTTTCTCGTAACTGGCTGGGACATATCTCCGTAATGTACATCCCCGGCCTACACTGTGATCAGTCCTCTAGACCGTCTGTTCAGAGCTCACAGCAACAGCAATGGGCGTTGGACAGGCATCAAGATCGTAAGGATCTAGACGAGAAGAGAAAGTAAAGAATGACTAGTAATTTGCACCCTTTCTGTTGCTGCATCTGTTGAAACAGGTAATCTATCAAGAGCCCGAGGAACAAGACCACAAACAAGGAGCAGACTCACAGTGACACTTGCATTGCTGCAGGCCAAGAATGGCAATCTTTGGGTGCCTGGGAATACACTTTTTTTTTTTTTTTAGGTGGGAGGAAGAATCAAGAGCCATAACAAGTGGGGTGGGGATGAATCCATAAAGTGGATTCACTTTATGATATAAGAGTATTATGAATATTATGATATAATATTCACTTCTATTATATGAAGCCTGTTTCATGGATTTATATGAAACGTTTTGTATGTTCCACTTCGCAATGACAGGAGGGGATTCTAACAGCCACCAAAAGATGTTTCTGGGTTGCAGGCAGCTTAGGGAATTCAGGTTACCCATTAGAGTAGAGCACAGAATGTGGAATGCCTAGCTGCCTATTTTTGTGGCTAGAACCAGGGAACTCCATCTTCTGGACACAGAAGAATCTGACAAGGCTTCAGAAATCAAGGAAGGCACAACACTGCAGGCAGGGGAGGTGTAGGCATGGGACCAGAGACTCCAAAATCATTTCCCAAAACAGAGGATAACAGCATTGTTGGGCAGAGGTGGGGGAAAATACACCTCAAAGGAAAATTTCAAGATATTTAAATGTATAACTCAAACAGTAGGGGTTGGGTAATGAGTTTAAACCGGCGGTTATAGCTGATTGATTGACAAGAGCTGGCTACCGCATGAGGCAATCTCAACTGCGATTGGTTGCCTTGAGTGAAAAGGGGAAGCTTCCTTATTTCCCGCCTTTTTTGCCCTGGGTGCCCTCTATGCTCTCTGTGATTTACCTCTTGAAATTCTTGCTGTGTTGATTTACCATACTATGCTCCTGTTTTGCCTCCCTTATTTACTGAAATACTATATTTATTTATTTGTACAAAAACTACAAGTTCTTGTCAGCGTCTCTGACTCCATTTCGACACAGGCTGCGCAATTCAGACAGAAAAGTTCCCTTGAAGTGAAGGTCTACTAAGGGGCCATTTCTGAATAAACCTGCATCCTTGAGAAGATACAGAAAAAGAAAAGAAAAAAACTGAAGGAGGATTATAGCTTCCAGGATGAAGCTTGCCAACTGGAAGTAATCCAGTCCTGGAAACAATGACAGATAAATGTATTGGACTCGTATTGTTGTTGTTTTTTTGCCCTTTGGCAATTGAAATTTTTGCTGCTAACATCGCTGATTCTGCATATTTTAGTCTAAACCTCCAATTCCTAATGGTCTCATAAACAGGAGAGTTCATTGTGGTAATGTTAAAAAGTCAAGATGGTGGTAGCTGTGTGATGGAAAACCTGCCCGTTTTACATACATTGAGACATTTAATGTGTAAAAATGGAGTGTGGCTTCAATTGCATAAATGTAACAACTATTCTGACCCTCCCACCCATCTCCGGCAGATGCTCCTGTCGATAAAAGAAAGATTAGCTTATTTATATTCTCCACCTGATTCTTCAGCAGGGTCAGGTGAGCTTGCAAGAAAGCTTGTGGTTCAATTAAAGCAATCAAACTAAGAAATTGAAGATTTGAAAATCAAACCTTCCCCTGTAATAAGCAGCAGCCCTTATTAGAAGAGGTGGGCAACTTTTCTGCCCCACAGACTACCTTTGGAAATAGGTTGAGGTCAAATTGATTCTTATACAGGTAGTCCTTGACTTACGACCATTCATTTAGTGATCATTTGAAGTTACAATAGCAATTAAAAAAGTGACTTATGACCATTTTTCACACTTAATGACTGTTGCAGCATCCTCTATGATCAAATGATCAAAATTGGACACTTGGCAACTGGCTGGCATATATTTATGGCAGTTGTAGTGTCCCCGGGTCATGTGATCAAGTTTTGCGACTTTCTGACAAGCAAACTCCATGGGGAAGCCAGATTCATTTAGTGGTGTTACTAACTTAACAACTGCAGTGGTTCTTAACAACTATGTCAAGAAAGGTCAGACGGAGCAAAATTCACTTAATAACTGTCTTGTCTAGCAACAGAAATTTTGGGCAACAGGTACAGGTGGTCCTCAACTTACAACCACAATTGAGTCCATTTCTGTTCCTAAACGTGACAGTTAAGGGAATTTTGCCCCATATTATGACCTTTCTTGACCTGTACAACAGGATCTTGAGGAGGGAAAGGGTCCTTGGAATACTCTTTCTCTAAATCTCTCCTTTGCTAGTAATGATGGCTTGTTAATTCTTCATCTTCAGGAGTATCAGCTGAGTAATGAGAGAAAATAGGTGTTGCTCCTGCAAGGTATTCCATGAAGGGCAAAGAAGGGGCAAATGCCAAACGTGTGTGAGATATAATTATGCAATTGCTACAGTTCAAGACATCCAACATTAGTATCTAAATCATGGCATATTCATGATGTATATATTGTCATTTTGGCATCACAGTGATTTGTTATGGAATCCACTCAGCTTCTGGCAGGCAAGCTGGCTACAAACAATAGTTACAGATCCAAATGACTCAATCAAGGGCAAAAGACTGAGTGCTAAGAAGAAAAATAAAAAGGATTTCTGAGAGTATAAATCTGTATTAGATGAAGCTTGCAGGCATACTCACCCATGAGCATTTAGATGTGATCTTCTTAATTAGCGCAAGCAGCAATTGAACCATAAATGAATGTCAGAGATTGGATATGTACATTAGGCAAATCTGTGGCTGGCTAAACTGTGATTCAGTGTATCACAGAAAAAGAACTAAAGTTACAACATTCCTTTAGCCAGGTAAATCAGAAAGAAAGTTCTATTAATTTTCAAGCAAATTCAATCAACTTGATCATCTATCTAGGCCAATGTTTCTTACTTTTGGCAACAGAAAGATATGCAAACTTCAACTCCCAGAATTGCCAGGCTGGTGTAATGATTAAGGAATCATGGGACTTGAAGTTCACACACCTTCAAGTTTCCAAGGTTGAGAAATACCATTATAGCATTACTTGGTGTGTTTTTTATATACAATACACCCCTCTGTATATTAGTTCTTCCTTTTTCAGAGCTTTTTGAAGGTTCATGGTGATGATCTCAAAAACAGAAAACAGAAAAGAAAAAAAAAAGCTCCCCTTTGACATAAGTTTTTGAAGAGCTCTTGCATCTACTTCATGCTGAATGGCCAGCAGCTAGCAGCTGAAATGAAGGAGACTGAGACTGAGTGTTGGAAACTAGGCTCCCCTTTCAGTGTGATCAATTCACAATAGACCATCCTTGACTTATGACCCTTTGTAAATCATGAAGGTCATAAAGCAGATCATCATGGTAACTGACCTGATTTTATGACATTTTCTTGAAGAGAGTCATTATGCTAACAAGGTGGTCGTAAAGTGAATGAGGTTTTTTTTAGCGAACCCATTATTTGCTATAGGCCATTATTTGCTATGGGATATGGTTTCTGGCCAAAACATAAATTGTAGTCAAGTGACCAGAGGATGCTGTAAATGGCCATAAATATGGACCACTTGCTGAGTGCTCAAATGTGGTCATGTGACCCTGGAGGGAGGGCAACCATCCAAACTTTGGAACTGGATTGTAAGTAGTTTTTTTGGGTGGGTGGGTGGGTTCTGTGATAACTTCAAATGGTCTCCAAGTGTCCGGTTGTAAGTCAAAGACTACCTGTCTCTATTTCAGAGGGGATAGGGCTATTACACAACTTTGAGATAGGAGAGGAAGTTTAAGAAGAAAAGTTATAGGTATCCAAACTCCTCTTCAGGACTGAAAATCTGGAAGTAGAAACATGCTTGTTTTTTTTAAATCAGGGGGTGAATTTCTCCAAGTCTCGTTCTTGCTTAGTTGCTCACCTTTGTTTCTTTGTGGAATTGAGCCCGGCTTTCCTCAGGGACAATGCTGTAGGGTATGAAAATATCCAAATGATAGAGCTCAGGATGTCCCCGTAATACAATACGGTCTTCTCCAAGGTCCAGCTCAATATTTCTCACTGAGATCTGTAGTAGTGATGAGGAGGACGAGAAAAACATATTCAAAAAAATGAAATCAGTCCCAGCACCTGGGCTAGAGTTGGAACAGGTAGGTGCTTCCCTGTAAACATACACTATGGAATTACCATTTTAGGGAGGGAGATCTTTGACACTAGATGACTGGGATGACTGGTTGACGGCTCTGCGACTATGGTGAATTCAGGAGTTACAGCAGGGCTGAGAAAAGAACAGAACAGACTTAGATAAGGAGAGCTGTGCCCAAGGCAGATCAATAACCACTGTCAAGTGCAGAATTTGGAAGGCTTTTGTGGGGCAAAACTGGATGGAAAACAAGGAGAGATGGAACAGGTTAGATAATAGACAGTACATCTGTACTCTATACCACAACATTTTAGTGCTGGTCCCTCATTGTGTACTAAATGCAACTGGGTAAAAAAGAAAACCCACGTGCTACAATCCAACAATTTAATCCAGTGTTTCTCAAAGTTGGTGGCTTGAAGATGTGTGGACTTAATTCCCATGGGTAGGGGAATTGGGGAATTCTGGGAGTTTAAGTCCACGCAACCTCAAACTGCCAAGGTTGAGAAACATGGTTAAGTGACTCATGCCCATTTTGCAACCTTCTTTGCCATGGTTGTTAAGTGAATCACTGCAGTTATGTGAATCACTTAAAGCAAATCTGTCTCCTCCCATTGACTTTGCTTAGCAGAAGCTTGCTGGGAAGGTTGCAAATGGCAACCACAAGACCCTGGGAGGCTGCAACTAGTGTAAATACATGCCAGTTGCCAAGCATCCAAACTGGTCACACTTAGTAATAAAATAACAGAATTGGAAGGGACCTTAGAGATTTTCTAGTCCAACCCTCTGCATAGGCAGGAAATCCTATACCATTCCAGACAAGTGGCTGGAAGCCCCCAATGATGGAGCACCCACAACTTTTGAATGCAAACTATTCCACTAGTTAATTGTTCTCGCTTTTAGGAAATTTTTCCGTAGTTCTAGGTTGGTTTGTTGATTAGTTTTCATCCGTTGCTTCTTGTCTTGACTTCTGTGCTTTGGAAAATAGATTGACTCTCTCAAATATTGGAAAAGTACTATGTCACCCTTATTCCTTTTTTTCACTAGACTAGACAAACCCATTCCTGCAATCTTTCTTCTAATGTTTTAGCCTGTATTGCTACAAAAAGAAAAACCTTCTGGGACTTGCATCTCCTTTTGCCAAACCATGCTGGGACCCAAATTCCTACCTAATGGTTTTCTTAAATGTCAAGGTTATTATGACTATTTTTGTCCTAGTTCTGAACCTATCCTTCTGGACACATTATACAAAGACCCAGCTTTCCAGAGAGGTCTGTAAGGCTGAGAAAGACAAAAAGAAAAGAGAAAAGCCAGCAGCAAGTGAAGGACTCAATTACAGCAGCATTGAAGATCAGGTTAGGGACAGATAGTCCCGCAGAATATCTATCCATGTTGTCACTAGAAATTAAGTTGATATGATGGCACATAATTAATCCATTAATTGTAAGATTATTCTGTCCTTATCAGATATGTGGGCAAGCAAGCAAAGATTCTGCTGTGCCAGTTTTACCACTATCCAGAATTGGCAAAAGTGAGTCTAATTAGAATGGATGAATATCAGGGTCAAAAATCTTATTCCAGGAGATCATATTAAGTCCTGAACACATATAAACTTAACGTAAACCACTTTAAATTTGATTGTGAAAGATTCAATTTTTGTAACAGCATTATCAAAGCCAGGAATATTTTATCAGATTCAGTTGTCTAAGGTACTAAGTTTCACAACGATAATTCCAACTTAACTTCTATGGACCTAATTCCATATTTAAGAAGTTCCTAAGCATGCGTAAATGCTCTAATGTGCCTGACATTCCTGTCATGTTTTACTTTTTTTGTTTTTCTTGTTCTAATTTGTAATTTTTGTAACAAATGAATGAATGAATGAGTATATCACCTAGAAACTTAAAGATAACATCCAGAATAGCTAGAGAGCATTTCTGGGGGAAAAAAGATGCGTGGGGGAGATCTTACAGCACAAGGAGGAGATTTAGCTTAAGGGAGTCCACTCCCCCAACTCAAAAAAGCACACCTGCTCTGTATTTCCTGGATGATGGGCTTGGATTTAGTGCGGATATTCTGTTCTGATATGGAGCCCATAAACTTCCTGTTCTTCAGAATCCGCCAATCTGAGAAGGAATACAAGCAACTGTGTCAGCTGGTTACAGAGGTAACAAAATCAAAGAAGAGCAAAGCAATGCTGCCAGAGTCCCCTTGAGATGGCTTATATTCAGGAAACCACCCCACCCACCGAACAAATGCTCTCCTTGCTGCAATTTTTATTTTCTGTACCTTGATTGCTGATGTCCATCTTGTACTTCTCTGACAATCCTTCCATGGCTATGGTAAGGAAGAATTCTTTGAGAAATTGGTTGCTCTTTACCAATAGGAGAGAAAATTGCAGATAGGAGAGAAAATTGAGATAGTTTAGGCCCCCTTTTCCCATGACTGTGTTAAAAAAATGGCTTGAAAATTGCTTTCCCCCATAAAATCCTGTGTGTCTTGGGAGCACACTCAGCATTTACATCGTGGAGGTCATACATTCAGCTTCCTGTTGTGCTGAAAAAGGCAACCAGATGAGCACAGGAAGGGAAGATCCCAAAGCCCCTGTAAAATAAGACTCACCTCCATCTTATTAAAAAAGTTGGTGTTTATGGTGACATCATAGGCCGTGCAACCATTACCACCTGAAAGGATGAAAGAAACATTAAGCTGATTCCTAATAGGGACAATTCTTCCTTAGGTCCAAAATGCACACGTAATGTCCATTGTTTCTAGTTTCTAGTTGCTCTTGAAGGGATACAACTACACTGTATTGTCTTCATGGAAAGGTCCCCGTATAAATCCATTCCATATGAATTTTTTTTTAAAGTTTGCTTTTTCAATACTATTTCCTTTTCAGTCAGGATGGTTAAAAATGTGTATAATATTGCATTTGTATTCTGTTATAAATTTTCTGCAGAGTATAGGATAGGTACAGAGTAATCCACACAACAAATAAAAGTAGTCAACAGTGCTCTGTTCTCTGTGATTTCCAACTGCATCTCTGTGAAGTGTCTGAACTGAGAAGTCCGAGAACAATTTAGAAGTAATTATGAGTGACTTCTACTCTCTGTTAGTGCCATCCTCACCTTTGCCCAAAATAGTTTTGTTGCTTCTAAGCCCAGACAGATGTTATGACCTGAGAAGCAACAGGGTATTCAATTAGGTAGATGGAAAGCAACATTTACATCCACCTGACCCACTGGCATGGGAAGACAGAGTTGATTATTACAGACCCCATCAATTAGGAGTGCACATCTGGTGGGGCCACGAAAAAGGGCCTTGTTGGTGATGGCCCCTTTTGTATAGAACATCATTCTCCCTGAGATATGGTTGACCACCCACACCCTATTGCTTTTCCGAAAGGCCCTAAACATGGTTTTGTCAGCAGACCTACAGAATACTAATGGAAATGGATCTGAACAAATGGCTATTTTGATTGTGTTGTTGCTGCTATGGAGAGTGGAGTGCTTTTTTATGGAGTTTTATATTATGTGGCGGGTTTTTAAATAGCACTAGCATTTAGACTTATATGCCCCTTAATAGTGCTTTACTAATTTAGTGCACTTTCTAAGTGATTTAAAGAGTCAGCATATTGCACCCAACAATCTGGGTCCCTATTTGGACCTCGGAAGGATGGAAGGCTGAGTTGACCTTGAGGTGGTCAAGATCGGACTCCCGGAAATGCTCAGAATCAGCTGCAATATTGCATTGTGACCATTGTACCACCATGGCTCCTGCCTTACAAATGTTATAAGTCACCTGGAATCAGCTATGTGTGAATTGGGCAGTTACTATATATAAATTTGTTTAATAATAATCAATTCCCTAGTTTGTACCATTCATCTCAACACCAATCAATTTTCTAATGAGTTGACAACTCACTCTTGTCTACTTCTGCATGGGGCTCCCCCAGACTCATGGGGATCCGGAAGGTAGAGGCATTCTCTGATTCAATGAGGCAAGCCAGCTCTTCATTGGTTAGGTCGGGCGGCGAAGGGATGTGCGGGGATTTGCAGACATTGACAAAAATCTTCTCACCAGAACTTGTGTGGGTTTTAAGGCAGAATCCTAGGGAGGGAAAAAATGGTGCAAAATGAAGATGTCACACATGCAACAAAAACTAGAAGTGATAATATCTTTCTTGTGATCTGGCAAACCAATTTTTTCCTATCTTATTGAAGGATTTAAATATGCAGCAATGAGATATAAGTGGAAATTGAACCTATCCGCCGCCAACTAGTTCTACTTGAAATAAAGCAAGGAAAGCCTCTTTGTGTACAAATCCAGAATATCCAGGATCAGTAAAACTCTGTGAACCCTATAAAACCTTATAGATTAGGCTTAGTTGAACAACCCCTAGCTTACCCTACCCTGCCTACCCTACTCTACCCTATTCTTTTACTCTGCCTCTGTCCCACCCACAGTAGCACAGCAACTGGAACTGGCATTTTTTTTTAGCTTTCCAAGTTTCCCTGCAAAGCTTCTCCTATTTAAAACTCTTTTCCCATTTTTGATACTATTTTTTTTCCCAAGTGCAGCCTAGGAATATCATGCAAAGTTATTTTTGTAAGTCTTTTTTTAATTGAGTGTAGAATATAAACACAGGTGGTCCTTCCTTTATGACTGGTCATATTTGAAGTTTCAAGAGACCTTCCCAGAGCTACTGACAGTCCATTTTCAAAGTTACAATTGTTGTACCCCCTCCCCACAGTCACATTTTAGTGTTTGGCTAACAGCTCATTTTTATGGCCCTTTGCAGTGGCCCACGGTCATGTGACAGCAATTTGCTATGTTTTTGTTTCCCCACTGGGAAAAATGGATTCACATAAAGACCCATAATATCCCCTATTATCTCATATCCCTCTTGGAAATCAATAAAGAAACGACGGAGAAACAAACAAGAGAAAGTAGCAACATGTTGGGGAAATGAGCAAATGTATGCCATACGATAGGAAAGGAAGAATTTCTCATTTCCATCTTAGGTCTGAGAAATCTTCTCCCATATCTTACACCTTTTTCACATTCATTTTCTTTCATTTAGCATGTTTCCTTTAGTAGTATTTTTTTTTTTTACCTGGAAGGGGGCGGATAGGCTTGGATTCTGCTGGAGAAGGAACGGAGCCCTGGATATTCTGGGCTGCCTAGAGAGAGAATAGTTGGATGTGTTTATGAATCCTGTGTGCCCCAACCAGTCAACAGCCACACTGATTTATATTTTTTCCTTTTTCTTATGACTAAAAGAAACCTATTGGGGGACCTACTGGGTCCGTCAAATCTACTGAGGGGCAGTTCTATGTTGGAGGTAGTTGCTAGATTGACAGCAGACCCCAGCTCCCCCCCTCACTCTCTGCCCTCCACTCGCCCATCTTTTCTTTACAAGTCATATCAATATATTTTCTTTGTTTTATTGTTCTATTACTTTACTATTGTTTTGCTTAAACTTCCTTTTTATTTCTTTGTTTATAGATGTGAACTGCCTAGACCAGCCCCTTGGCAAGAGGGCAAATAGTATTACTAATTCTACTACTACTACTACTACTACTACTACTACTACTAATAATAATAATAATAATAATAATAATAATAATAATAATAATAAATGTCGCTATTTGGAAATTCTGAATTCATCAGACTTGAATACCCTGATTCTACAAAAAACCACCCAACTTGGAATAGCTTATATCCTCTGACACTACCTTAACAGTTCCTAGGTCCTTGGTTAGGACTCGAGCTGTTGAGCTATCAACCAGCCCCAAAGGCTGTGAATCCCACCAAAGATTAACAATATTATTATTATTATTATTATTATTATTATTATTATTATTATTATTATTATTATTATTAACAACAACAACAACAAAAGCCTTAGTTGATACCTAGAATGCTGGCAGGAAACCGTATCAATTATCAGTGCCATTCAATGATATTTGTGATACATTTTTAAAAGTTCAGTTGACTGAGTTTCATATTTAATGAATAAAAGAAATATTATTAATAATAATCATACCAATAATAATAATTCATCTTATTCTCTAGGAGTGATCAGACAGACTAATTGCACACCTATAAGGGTGAGTGGTGGAAAAAAAAGACAAAAAGGGAACAAAGCTACTTTAACCTGCAATTTTGGAAAGTGTAGATCAACACTTTTGGTACATGCCATGTGTAGAAAAGCTGTCACTGTGCATCATCATTAAATAAGCACAATCACTGGACAGTAGATAAGGAAGAAGATACCACACAAGGGCTCTAATGCCAATTACAGATTCCTCCCAACATTACCAACTACCTGTAAAACTGCATACATATGCTGAATTGATATTAACATCGCCTAGGAGAGAGTTCCACAATCTTTTTGGCTTCATGGACTAGTCAGGGGGAGAGGGGACAAGTGCATGCATGCAGTTCCATTTGTATGAGCAGCGGCATACACGCCTGCCGCTTGCACAAGCGGAGATGTGCGCACATGCACTTGCCACTTCTGTAGCCTGGTTCTGAATGGCGCAAGGCCTGGAGGTGGACTGTGACTGGGGGTTCAGGACCCGTGTCCTAGGGTGAAGAAAAATACAATAATTATATCCTACAGCAATTACTACTGAGAAAAGTGACCTTAATAAAATTGTAATTAGGAATGACATTTGAGCATTTTAGCTCCTTCATAAAAATGCGGTGTCTTTTATGAAAACCAACTGCCTCTAGAATCAGAGTAAAAACATATCATGATGGCTTTATTACTGTGTGTCTGGAATTGCCTATAGATGCATAATTGAATTTAAAATCATAGTTCGATCAAATTGCAGACAGCAATAGTCTTGAAAAAGAAATGAAGATGTCCTTCCAAAAAATTATTTTTGACAAGAGCCGCTTAGCCTTATCTATATCTGTTGAGATGGTTCAGAGGCAGCCCCCCCGCCCCTGCATTGGAAGCCCATCAAAAGAAGTGGATTGTTGTTAATATTTATGGCCCCCAAGACCACCTCTGGCTTCCACAACCACTTTTTGAAGCTCCTAATCTCCTCTGACTTAAGTTGTTGAAAAACGATGGTATGATATTCTTTTGAATGGGAAAAAAACTAAAAAATGTTCATGTGAATTATAAAACAGGAATGTCAAAGCAAAAAAGCCAAGGGCTGCCTAAACTCCCTTTGAAGTGCCAGACACACCCACTCTGCAGCCTTCAGATCAAAGACATTACATTAAAAAGTCCCTATTTTGATTTAATATGACAAAAGAGGAGAAATAATTGAATACATAAAGTGGAAGTATATTAAACTGGATGGATTTGATTTATGGGAACATTAAATGTTTTATGAAATCTGGTCTCCCTCAGCCTGAATTCCTACTGTAACCTCATTCTGTTCTCTTATCGCACATGTCTTGCAACCCAATTTTTTTCTTAAATATGAGAGAAACTGCCCTCAACACACCTGAAGTAAAAGGCGATTGAATTCCTCTTCCTCTTGTTCTCCTTGTAATTCGGTCGATAACAGCGACTTATCTGTAACTGATGCCATGCTGAACCTGGTGGGCCCAGCAGAATCTACAAAATGAAGGTTTAAGAACCAATGTTTAGAAACAAGTGACAAATGAACTAAAAACCAATTTTGTAATCTTGGACCTGTCAAGATGTATTATTGTATATAACTATAGTACAGGTAGTCCTTGACTTACAACCACAATTGAGGCCAAAATTTCTATTGTTAAATGAAACAGTTAAGTGAGTTTTGCTTTATTTTATGACCATTCTTGCCACAGTTGTTAAGTGAACAGTTGCAATTGTTAAGTTACTAACATGGTGGTTAAGTGATTCCAATTCATAAAGATGAGTCATTGCCAAGCATCTGAATTTTGATCACATGACCATGCTGCAACAGTTGTAAGTGTGAAAAATGGTCATAAGTCACTTTTTCCAGTGCCTTGTAATTTTGGATGGTCATTAAATGAACTGTTGTAAGTTGAGGACGACCTATAGTAGAACATTAGGGATGTTGTTATTCAATAGGCCACCCTGCCATTATCAGTTTAGGAAAAATTTCATTGAGATCTTGGGTCAGGAAGAAAATTGCCTAAAAGGCATAGGCTGGTTTTTAAAAACTGATTACAGTGCTTATGCATGCTCCTCAAACCTTTGAAACATGCAGTGAGGAAAGTCTGTTAGGATGGACTCCTGAGAAAAAGCCATTGCTTATCCATCCTTCTCTTCCAATGAACTGAGGGGTCTGGAACACGGCCGCCATGTGTCCTTCATGGAATGGCAGCAGAGTAACAAGGCAGAGCCAATTTAATGGAATGGTTAAGTCATCAAGCTAGAAACTAGAGGATGGTGAGTTCTAATCTTGCCTTAGGCACCAAGCCAGCTGGTGATGTTGGGCCAGTCACTTTCTCTCAGCCCCAGGAAGGAAAAACTTTTCCAAGGAAACTCCACGGACTTATCCAGGCAGTCTCTGAGAACTGAAAGGGGAACAAAAGGCAGAAATGCTAAAAGATTTTACAACACTAGGGAGGATAACAAAGAGGCTTAGAATCCCTTGAATAATAATAGAAGAATAAATGATATATTTTTGTTTTTAAAATGGCCCAAGGTCCTTTTTTATTTTTTGCTATTGAAGATCAATGCAGCCACCTCATAGAAAAGTTTCCAAAATAATATTAAAACTGCAATTTCAGTCCATAGAAGAAAACCACAGAAGATCCAGGTATATGGAACTGGTACACTCTTTGTACCACCCAAACCAGCCTCCAATTGATAGCAATAGCACTTAGTCTTATATATTACTTCATAGTGCTTTACAGCACTCTAAATGATTTACAAATGTCAACATATTGCCCCCAACAATCTGGGTCCTCATTTTACCGACTTTGGAAGGAAGGAAGGAAGGAAGGAAGGAAGGAAGGAAGGTAGGTGGAGGCAACCTTGAACCAGTCAGGATCGAACTCCTGACTGTGGGCAGCGTCAGCCTGCAATACTGCTTTCTAACCACTTGTGCCACCATACAAGCACAAATCTTCTGATCCTCTTGGCCTTTCTTTTTAACTCCATTATTTATGGCAGTGGTTTTCTACCTGTGGTCCACAGTGTTAGGATTCTGGCAGACCCTTGGGGAGTCTGCAAAAGCTTGAAGAAATGTTACGATCTAAATATTGAGTTAAATTTTGGAGATCTGTCGCCAGAGATCGTGGCCACAAAAAGTAGTTAAAGGGGGTCCATGGCAGGGGTGAGATTCAATTTTTTTTACTACCAGTTCTGTGGATGTACTTGGTGAGCTGGCAGGGGAAGGATACTGTAAAATCATCAGTCAGAGGTGATATTTGCCGGTTCTCCAAACTACTCAAAATTTCCGCTACTGGTTCTCCAGAATTGGTCAGAACCTGCTGAATACCACCTCTGATCCATGGTGAAGAAAAGGTTGAGAACTACTGCTTTAAGGCATCAACATCTCCCTTCCCTCCAAGAAAATCAGAAAAATCAATTCTCTTTTTTCAGTCTCACAATATCATTGCAGCGCTAACTACAAGCAACTAGTCAACTATTACCTAGCAACCTAAATAAACAGAAGAAAAATTATTACAATCTGGTTACTTCTATGTGAAATTTCTTCCTTTTGCTGCTACTTCTATTACTACAAGCTTCATTTCTTTGACCTCAAATGTATCCTGAGACTAAAATAACAAAATCCTACAACCCATGTTAGCAGCCCAAATCTGTCATCTCCTCAAAAACCTCACTGAGCTTAGTGCAATTGACTTCCTATGGAAATGAATATAGGTAGGTCTTGATTAGGGTACTTAATAAACCCCACAAAATGGCTGCATTATTCCAATTTGCACTATTTGAATATTTCTCTGGAAAATAGGGTAATTTCTTTAAGATTCTCATTTATCCCAAAATAATGTTTAAAAGATACGAAAACAGAGCCTGTTTGGTCTAGAGGTTAATATTGGCCTAGAAGAAATGGAGTTCTAGATCTCCAGTTCTAGATCTCCCTCAGGCATGAAAACTGCCTGGTGACTTTGGGCCAATCCCTCTCTCAACCCAACCCACCTTGCAAGGTTGTTATAGACAAAATTAAGGGGAAGGAGGAGTATTAGGTATAAACACAAAATGAATTTTTTTAAAAAGCATTACATTCATAAACTCCCACCCAAGTGTTTTTCTAGGACACTTTTACCTTTTTACTATTATATTCAGAATACCCCTAAATGCTATTGTTAACATCTTGGTGAACAGCAAACATGACCTGGTATCAACACGATCAGGAATCAGGAAAAAGATTTGAAAAGATCAAAGGAAAAATAACAAACACTAAAAGTCAAGAGCAGGGAAGAAAAAAGAAAAATATCTAAAGAAGCGACTTCTGATTTTCTGTACGGTGGTCACAAACATAATTATCACCACTTTTACTTTCCCAAATTATATATTATCAGTTCATTTTTGTCCATTTTCCTCAAAAAGTCCATGAAAGGTTTCCAGTCGTTTATAAAAATTGTGACCTGGTATCAACATATAAATCATATTACTGTAAGTCAAATTTTGCACTATTCGAACTCGCGCTAGTCAAGATCTACTTGTACAGTTTACACACACTACATGACTGTTAGGTGAACGACACACGCTAGTAATTTTGTCATTTTGAACTAGGTACCTCTCGGTACAATACTGCTATCCAACCCACATACAATGGAGAAGCAATTCGTGGCTTCATTCTCTAATATTTGCTGTATTCTTTATAGAAATGGGATAACGAAAATAGAGAACAGCAAAAATTCGCCTGGGCTCCGTTTTTTTACTCACACGCTGTACAGTAGAAAATGTGCTGTAGAGAGACAGCAGTTTCCTCTGCTTGTGGGGTTAATTAAACCGAAATACTCTCACTCGCACCTAAGCACGGAGTTTCGTACAACGAATCCCACCCCCTCGGTTCACTGAGATGCACCTTGAAGGAGCTCTCCGCATGTTGCGTTGCGTTGCGTTGAGCCGGAAGATATTTTATAGACTTCAAGATGAGCATAGATGTACGAATTTAGAGAAATGAGCCATGCAGGCAATGTCAAGACAAAACTCCTTGATATGGAAGGGATGAATAATTTCTATGTCTATGTTCATTTGGCATTGTTTTGGGGCTGAATTTTATCTCAATATCTGATAGCTCCGCCTCCAAGTTACGTGACCAGGGCAGCATTTTTAAGTATTATTTAGTTAGGAAACGTTTTAGCTAATTATAGTATAAAGCAGCGTTTATCCATTTTGACAACTTTAAGACTTCAACCAGCAGAATTCCCCAGCATGCTTTAACTCTGTTGGCTGGGGAATTCTGGGAGTTGAAGTCCATACATCTTCAAGTTGCCCTGGTTGAAAATACTGCTATAAAATATTAACTAGGAGATGGATGGATGTTTCAATATGCAGAATATACTTAGGTTGTATACATTGTTGCAGATTTTTAAAGTATTGTTTTCTCTGGTTGACCGGTTAGTGACCACATAGATGAATTATCTTCATGATAATCTGTCCCTAAACTGGGCCTTCAGGTCTTCAAATGGTATTCCCATAACCCTGTTGTCAACTTCGAACCGAACGTGGCAGCAGCCATTTTTCTGTTCCTCATTTTTCTGTTCCCCAGTTACCACAGAGGGGGAGATTGCAATGCCTTTCTAGAGACAACAGAGAGCTTTCTCATGAGAACCAAGGTCAACTCTACCAGTAATGGATAAGGATGGGGAAGGAGTACCTGGAGAGCCTGCCACAATTAATCCAACACTTGGGGAATGGAATTATTTCCTATTTTAATTATACTGAAACTGTGGAAAAGATTTAGAGTTGGTTTTCCTTTGAAGCTGTGCCATATGATATACTCAATAAAGAAGACTTTTGAGAAGGATCCTAGAGAGTTCTGATTTGCTTGGGTTCATTAGTTGGAACCTTGACACCTGTAACATTTACATTGCTGGTTATTTGCTTCTCTTTCTCTCCATTTTCCCCAGCACTGGATTTTTCTTCAGGGAGTTAGGTCTCTGCATGCAGCCAAAACAGTATAATTTGAATCTGCCCAAGTGTCCAGCAACAAACTAAGTGTCTCATAGTTGGAATGTTGTTGGACATTACTTCCCCTGCTGGAAGATTATATTCTTTGAAAATATTTTTGGCGGCGGCATATGTTCGTTTTTATTTGGAGCATATAATTTTGAAAACTAATCAAGCTATCTAGCATCAATTTGAGTGGGGGAAAGGAGCGCGCTGTTGCTCTAGGCTACGGTCTCAATGATTGCAGTCAGTATGTTCTCTCTATAGTCAGTATGTTCCGCTCTCTAACTTTACGTCTCAACTCTTCCCTACATGTAGCTGAACTCTATGGCAGTTGGGAGGTCGGAAGTGACTATTAAAGCGGAGGGGATGCTGTTCAGTTGGGAGGTTGCTGTTTTTGGCTATCAAGAACCGAGCAATCAAGACTGGAGTCAATGGCCGGCTTCTCAGCGACGGAATGCAGCCGCGAGACCCCTTCAGTGTACGATCTCTACAGCTCCATGGAGTATGGGCCGGTCCCGGAGGCGCTTGGGGCAGCCCAGGTAAGGGACTGGAAGGGATCCCCTCTCACGTCTGATCTCCCCCCCCGCCCCTCCCGGCGGAGAGCGCAGGATCTGGTTGGCGTAAGAGGAACATACATGATCTGTGTGCTCCAAAGGAAAGTAACTTGCATTTCCGCCTCACGCTAAACCACAAAACTGTGGGCGCTCAGTGCGGGGGGAGGGGGGGAGAACTTACTCAACAAACGATCGTTAAGCCATCGTGGTTTGCAGTGGCTGGAAACCAAACCTTGCAAAAGAGGGGATCCAAAGCGAGCCCGGGGAGACTTTGCTCTATCCTGATTCCTCCCCCCAAAAGAAAACACAGTTCCCCAAGAGGCAATTTTTGTTGACCCCACATTTTAGCTTTCTCTCCCCCTCCCCTCCAACCCCGCCGTCTCCCACTCGCCTCTGTCCCTGACCTTCGCTCCCGCTGGCTGAACTCCCGGTCCTGCTGGGATAGGGCGGACTTTACTGATAATTCAGGTTCAGGACGTGTCATTCCCGCCTGTATTCGTTACTTCGGCGCTTTTAAAGACGAAGCGCTCTTGGTGGACGCTTGAGCGGGTTTTGCACCTCTCTTATACGATCGGCAGCGCTTTTGCCCCGGTTCCTTCAACTAGTTTTAATAGACAAACGTAGCTTTTTTTTAGCCAAGGAAATCTGCACCCGTTGTCACTTCCATATTGTATTCAGTATTTTGCTTTGCTGCATCGAAGTAAGGCGGCTGCTTTTAGAAACTTCTGCCTGGCAGGGTTGAAACCGCGCTCTAAAATTAGTTGTAGCCTTGTGGCTTGAATGATGCCTGAATATAGTCCCAGCCCATAACTGGATTGTGATTTAGCGTCATCCGAATCCGGAAAGTTTGGGTACCTAAACAAACTTCAAC